ACTTCCAAGGGCAAACTGTTCCATTGGTTGATTGTTCTCACTGTCAGAAGGTTTTGCCTTATTTCCAGGTTAAATCTGTCCTTGCTCAGTTTCCATCCAGGTGCTTTAGAAAATAGCTTGATCCCCTCCTCTCTGTGGCAGCCCTCAAATACTGGAAGACTGCTATCATGTCTCCCCGGTCCTTCTCTTTACTAGACTATCCAAGCCCAGTTCCTGTAACCGTTCTTCATATGTTTTAGCCTCCAGTCCCCTAATCATCCTGGTTGCTCTTCTCTGTACTTTTTGTAGAGTCTCAACATCTTTTTTGTAATGTGGTAAACAAAATTGGATGCAGTACTCTAGGTGTGTAACATCTTCTTGGATGTTAGCTATTCCTGCCAGCTTAGTATCATCTGCAAATTTGGTAAGTTCCCCTTCTATTCCCTTCATCTAAGTCGTTAATGAAGATATTGAAGAGTACTGGGTCTAAGACGGAACCTTTTAAACCAATTAAAACTCTCTTCTCATGATATTGGAATCTGGAGAACATTTGTGTTTTGTTGGTTTGCACAACCAACTTGAACCAGTACAGTGTTCCTAAAAATGGAATGCTTTTAGTTACATGCAAAGAGATGGAAAATTAGACCAATGATTCCCATTATTTTATCCAATTAGGCACACAGAAGATTCATTCTCCCTGACATAAAAGTTTGAAATGGCACTGGAAACTTTTCCAAAATGCTGTTTCATTCATTAATTTATAGCAAAAAATTAGGGTGTGAAAAAACAATGAAGAATATTTCTTCCAAAATATTCCATATTTGACATTAAAAAAACAGGTAGGAGGCTACTCCCGTGCAAACAAGCCCAAAGTAGTAGGAATATAATATCAATCTCTTTTTTTTCTTGCAGAGAGAAGATTTTTTCCAAGTAATTGATTCTAGACTGAAATCCTGTTTTAAAATTAAATGCAAATATTCTCAGGTTGCTACATTTAGAAGCATTTAACAACTCATAACTTGTCATGGACTGAAACCCCTTGCAATTAAATTGTGAAAAAGAATTTATAAAATGGAGCTAAGAAAAAAAAACCACCTGAATAATTACTGTAAAGCACATGATTTTTTTCTTTTAATAGAATTAAATAAAAAAATATGCATGCTTTTATTTATCCAGCCCAGGCTTCCCCAATCTGTCAGGTATAGTACAAAAGGTTGATGGGAAATATGATTCAAATATCTGAAAAATATTTGTTTGAAGAATGTTGATTTAGATGAAAGGCAAGTAGTGCTTGTTACTCAACCAAGTTCAACACTACTTTTTAAAAAGATATGAAACTAGAATCCCTGAGAAGACATCAATAGAAGAGATTATTTGTAGTTTAGGGTTGAACTGTGGAGTCATTGGTCTCTCTAATGTTGGTTGCTTACTTGCAGAGCTTTCATTACTGAACTAGGTAACTTCTTAAGTGCTAGAAGGGAGTGGGATGTGCTCTCTATTTATATTTACATATGGACAGATATAACCACAGTTTCAATTTGGAAATTGTGAGTGTCCTAGACCAAGCTAAGTCCAAAAATGCTAGGAATTCCTGGAAGCTTGGCACTCAGACAAATTAGCCATCAACAGGCTCACAGAGGTAAGCAACATTTACACATCATTCAAAAGAGACAATTAAAATTCTAAAATGGAAACAAAATGACCAGAACACCTCCTCCCCAGCAATCAACAACTATATAAACTGAGATTACCATCATGATTAATACCAGATCAATAATCAAGCAGTAAATAATATGCAAAATAAGGAATTAATGTGAGACTAGGCCTAAGCTGCCACACCTAAAGATGAAGCAGGCACATAAGCAGGATGGACAAAAGCCAGGAAAAGCTCTGTCAGGGAAAGTACTATATTTTTCACACTATAAGACACACTCCCCCCCCCCCAAAAAAAAGTGGGTGGAAATGCCTGCCTATCTTATAGAACGAATGTTACCAAAGCCCTGCCTACCTGTGGGCCTTCACCCTTCAACCTCTGCCTCCCAGCAATTTGCCTCCTTGCAGCAAACAGCCTGCTCAGCTTCAGCAATCGGTAGCAATCCCCACTGCCCGGAACGGGCTGAAAACAAGACGCGCAAAGGCCGAAAATGGGGGACGCAGAGGTGGCTATTGGCAGCAGCGACTGGCAGTGATGGCGATCCCCGCAGCCTGGAACAGCTGATTGGAGGTATTCTGGGAGGCTGATCCAACCACCTATCAGCTGCTCATGCTAAATCAAGCTGTGCTGAAGCTGACTAGGCTGTTTACTGTAAGGTAGATTTTTTTTTCTTGTTTTCTTCCCCAAAAGCTAGGTGTATCTTATGGTGCAAAAAAACACGGTAGTTAAGAAGGAACTAAGTTGTTAAGGAAAAAAAGAAAAAAAAATGTCACCTGAATCGGAAGGTGGGCCTGAGCACATGGGAAGCCCCTCCCCAAGTCCAACCAACCAGAACAAAGCAAGGACTTTGGGGATAAAAGCCCACCCACTCTTTGAGTCATCTTTGCCTGCCAGCCTAGTTGAGGACGTAAGTGTGGATGAGTGTGTGTGCATGAATGTACGTGTGTACGAAACCTCAGAGAGCACCAAAGACTCCACATTTCTATCATTTATGAGCAGAAGAAAGACATCATCCCTTGCCACACACCAATCCCAACTCTTCCCATACTGCTTTGCCAAGAAAACCCAAATTCAGGTATCCTGATTTTTTTTAACTACAATTCCATTCATTGGCCCTACCTGCTGGGGCTGATGGGACTGAAAACCAATGCATCTGGAAGCACCAGGATACCCAACAGCTGTAACTACAAAATGGAGACAGCCATTTGGACCAAATTCATGGCCATTTTTATTTTTGATTGTTGTTGCTCCTCATATCAAAAGTAAAACATCTGTAAAAGCCCAACCATGTCTAAAACCATTCTGATCTTGGTCTTCTCCATATGGGATCAATTATGTACTAAAATATGTAGGATTACTCTTTCAATCCCTCTACATTTTCTGCCTTTTAATCCACTCCTTCCTTGAAGATGATTTCAGAAGAACCAGAATGCCAACATTTAAGATATGGATGTTAGACTCTGTTGTGCTTATTTGTGTTTTGCAAATATACAGTAGTTACCGTGTTTCTCATATAATAAGGCCGGGTCTTATTTTTTTTTGAGCCCCGAAAAAATGGCTAGGCCGTCTTTTTGGGGGTGACTTAATTTTTTCCCCCCTTGCATCTTCGGGCGGGCGGGCAGCGATGGCTTGGATGTTGACCTCGGCGTTGGTGAGGCACTTAGTATCGGGGTCAACGCAGGCAGCGCCATATCCGGGTGTGCAACAAAAGTACTTTCTAACGGCAAGCCCCCCCCCCACCATTCCCCCCCATTTCGCATGTTTTAATATAGGCCTTAATTTGGGGGGAGGGGCTTAATTTCATTTCATGCCTATAAAACATGCTGGGACTTCCTATTGGGGGAGGCCATATTGTTGGAGAAACAGGGTATCTTTTCAGAGGCTTTTTCAGGATATTTTACCTGATTCTCTATTTAGTTTTTAGTTTGTTACTGTTTGATTTTATTATAGTTCACTGTATTTGCACTATGGGACAATTTGATTGAAAAATAAGCTATGAATTTACTAAATGAAACAAATAAAATAAAATCTTTCTCAGGAGACATAAAATCAGTGTATATAAAAACACTCCTGGTAACTGCATTCAAAATAGGTGTTTATAAGCTATAAGGAATTATTTAGTATTAAGCAGTGATTAAACTGAATTTTGCTTGGGGAGTCACACCTCAAGATTCTTATTATCTTCAGCCTCCAGGGTGAAACAGCAATAACTAAGAAACACATACAGTTTGTAAGATTAACTGGTTTCTCTATTTAAGAGTGGGGGAAGAGTTAACCAATAGTCCAGAAGCTCTAAGAATGTAAACCTAGTTTAAGAGCACATTTTAAAAAGAAAAATAAAGCAACAAGATGTATTTGGAGTTTAATTAGTCATATGACTGAACCACTGAAAACACAGGACTGTAATTAGAAGCCTCGTGGCTTATATGAATCTAAACTATAGAATTCAGCAAGATTAAAAAGTATCAGTCAAACAAAGAGTGCTCTAATTGCTGAAATGCCTCTATGTCAAAAATTTCTAGTGCTGCAGCATAGCAATTGTAATAATACTCAACTGATCAATCAAATTCTCAGTGTAGAATTAGGGGACCATATTCATTGCCTGAACCTCTCAATTTAACAGGTTGCAAGGAAGAAATTGGAAATACTGACCCAAGTCCCTGCAGAAGTGCCACAGAAGAAGGAAAATCATTGTACTAGCCATAGGTCATTAGACATAGGCTGATAAGAATCCCAGTTTTATCTAAACAACCTCAAGGCTGGGCTATAACATTCAGTACTTTGTTTTCACTGCATTGGGATGCAGAGGACATGGCTGGTGAAACCTTAGTAGCTTTGGCAGGAACAATCAAGTTTGCTGAGATTTATGGGGCAAACCCAATATACAGCATATAGCATAAAGTGATTTTATTTTTGCTCCAGTGGGAAACATCTTCCAGCTTTAGGGGGAAGGAAAGATTTGGGTGGGGTAAATTGTTACCTTCTGCTACTGCTTACTGCATCCTTTCTGGCCCTTTAAAAAAAATCAGAAAGCTAAAAAACAACAACACCTATTCTGACAATCAGAGAGTTACATGCAGCCTGTTACTCCAGACAAATAAAAACATTACTATAACGTTGTAAAAAAGAAATATTTAAATGTCGCCATACTCTATTTTGTTATTGTGTCAGGTCTGGAACATGCATGAGGTTAGAACCCATAGCAAATTACATCTCAGCAGTCCGCTTATGAAAACGTGTATAGAAGGTCCTTGAGTCGGAAGTAAGTCAAAAAACAGAGCGCTAATATGACAAATCAATTCCAGTCTCATCAGCTTTTATTACCAAATCAAAACAAATGTATCAGGAAAACAAAACTCAAACAAACCTGAGTCCATATGCCTGGAACTCTTTCGAAGTCCATTCAGTCGTTTCTGTGTAATTAAAGACATGCCAGTTAGAGATTACTTTCTAAAATAGAAATAGTTCCTCTTTTCATGTAAATTCTATTCAATTAGCGCACCATTACTTCACATTGGTGTTTCCATACACACACCCAAATCTTCTAGTCTTATGCCGACCTGAGATTATCTTCAATTCTGCTGACCGCAAAATGTTAAATACATGACCAGAACTCATGTCAATTCACGTAATTTCAGATAACCCAAAAGAACATGTAAAAAAAAAGTTGAATGTATATATCTCCTTCATCATTTCCTTCATTCTATAAAACAAAGGAATTAAAAAAGAGTTGCTAATGTTCTCCACATTCACATTTTCAGTTCATGGTGTTTTGGCCTGCAGAGGCAGCACTGATTCTGCTACAAGTGGTACAATTCATCTCACTAATGCAAATGCAGGAAGCTGTAGGAGGCTGTGAAGAACATCCAAGTGGAGTGAAATGAAGCAATGCAGCCATTTGCTTCACTCTTAGCTGCAAAAGGACATGATGTTTCATGAAACAGTTTCAGGTGTGCTGTGTTTTCTTCTTTGTTGAAGTGAAACACGCCCTTGAAGGCCTGTACATTCCTAATGTTTCATGCATACAGTTGTTTACAAGAACTTCTGAGTCACTGCAACGTGACTTTCCTTGGCTGCAAAGCTGGCATTTGTCCTACATTTAAAACTTCTTTCAAACTCGGAAATTGAAATGATACCCTTTGAACAATTTGCAACTGAGCATTTATCCCTTGATTGCATGTTGGTGAAGTGCCTGGAAAGGACAGATATGTTCTTTAAAAATCCTACAGAGAAGCACTGCAAGTGGTGAGCTCATCACTCAGTGAACTTTAAACCAGATCTAGAGCTGTTTCTGAGCTGATACAATGCCCTTTGAAAGAAATGTCTTCGGACCGTTTATGAATTTTACTAATCAAAGTTTAGTATTAAAGTTGCTGCATCAACTTCTAACTGACTGATGGGAAAGGTATGCCTGGAACAGAATTGAAAAACACTGTTGCACCACCCCTACCATATTAGGATCCATTTTTTAAAAGCTTTGCTGCCCCATTCAAACCATCAATTTCTGCCATCGTTTATTAGCCTCCTCCATAGGGGTCTATGGCAATCCGCTGTGGCCAACTCATCACAAGCAACTCACCATGGGACAACTTGCCACAGGCAACTCGCTGCAGGACAATTTGCTATGGGACAAGAGTTACACTAATATCAAAGAATGGGATAGAATCATTAAAGAAAAGATGTCAAAGGAGGGACAGAATTAAATATGAAAGACAAAAATTAAAATAATGTATTATTTATTTTAAATAATTAAATTGTCCCACAGCGAGTTGGCCATGGCGAGTTGTTTCACGGTGAGTTGAGCATGGCGAGTTTGCCGCAGTGAGTTGGATGTGGAGAGTTGAGCGTGGCGAGTTGGCTGCAGCAAGTTGTCCCATTCTGCCTCCATCGTGCTATCTGAAACAGTATCATTTCATCCTACCATGCCATAGTACAAGCTTTATCATACAAAACTACACAAAAATATCAATTGTTTCTGAAATGTATATGTATGTTATTATAGTTAATGTTTGAATGTGTGTAAAACTTTTGAACATCAATTACAAAGTTCACTTTCTATCAAGAACATGTTTTCGCCATAAAATAGGACTTAGCATATTAAAAGGTCACTGCAGTAATGAGTATGTAGTAATGATGTAGTACTGTAGTTGGAAGGAACATATGAAAAATGTTTGATTTTATGGGGAAGAACAGACACAAAGAGGAAGTGGCAATATCTGCCCAGGGTAAAATTTAGAGAAGAAAAAACAATATTAAAAAACAGGATATATAGATATATTTTTATGGAGAAGATAAATGAAAAATAGAGGAAATATCAATTATTCTATATAGGTAACTTTCTTGCATGACTGTGATCCTTCCAAAATGTGTTTGATTTCCTAAAACATACACAGCTTCCTCTTAAAAGCAGAGATTCAAAAACTATCATTTTCATTTACAAAACATTCTAACTACATAAAAGAACAGAGCACTTTTGAAAAATACAGTTATAATAAAGGTGATTTATCTTTCATGTTTAAGAAATCTAAAAGACTGTCAAAATTGGGGATCCTTATTATTTGCATGGTACATAAGGTAAGTTGCTGAGAAGATACAGTATTAGAAAAATCGTTCATAATCTCCATATTAAGATTGGATGGAAGAAAATAGATGTTCCAAAACACCTTTTAAAACCTGCCTTAATTCCTCTCAGAGCTGCACACTTCCCAGATAACTTCAAGTATTGAACAAAACTAATTTCCACTACTGGGTAGTCATATGAACTGCATTTAATTTTAATATTTAATTTCATTACTTAAGAATACATGTAAATCGAATCCAATTAAAACTAAAAGGTTGCCTTTTTTTTCTAGTGACCCAAGTAAGACTGGGCATAAAATATTCATTCAAGAACTTCATGGGCCACATGTCACTCCACTTTTAGACCACACTTTCAGTTGTCTAAAAACAGAGTTTAAAAAAGAAATACTCTGCATATTTTAATTTCCTTCATTTTTGAGCTCATTTTTAAAATCAATCCACAAACCTTTCAGTTGAAAATAGACAGTTAAAGTTTAGAGGCACTTTTTAGAAAAAAAATACTTTTTAAAAAACATAATTAACTGTTTGCTACCCTGGAGCTTGCCATACATGTATTTGAGGTGCTGGGATGCTCCAACAGAAAGAAAAATGAACAGCCTTAATTTCCTTGACAAATGCTTGAAATGTCATAAAGAAAGTAAGTTCAAACATATACTACAAATATATTGTACTCAATTTCTCCCTGCCAACAACTTTTAAATTTGACATTATATATTTCCCAAGAAATACAGTGTAGTCTTATATTCGTGCCCTTAACCTTAGACTGAGATGGTTTACTAAGCAATTATTACTTCTAACAGGAATCAGAAAGTTACAATTTAGGCCCATTAATGTCATCATTTCCTGAAATTCACTTTGCAATTGTAATACTGAATAGGTAGCTGCAAACCATGTACTCTAGTGCCAAATATACACAGGCTGTCCTACCCTTCATCATTGGTGAATGATTAATTTGATACTCCCTCAAAGCTTTCCAATTTCTAATCATTCCGATTCCAGAATATGCTACCTGTACAGCAATTTTATCATTAATGCAATTTCAGCTATGCTGAAATTGTCCATCAGTGGTTTCCTCTTATGAATAACATGGCTGCAAAGAGAATAGTATGCAAAGCAAACACAAATTAATTCCCCCAAAGAGGGGGAAGAACATCATACTATGAACAAGTTTAATTTGCTCTCAGATTAATGGTCAATTCTTAATAGTTGCCAATTCACTGCAGAGTTTAAAGCGAACACTGCTTGATAGAGATCTGTTTTTTGAAACCAAGACTTAACATTCCAATTCCAAAGTTCTTTCTACAAGTGAATGAAGCACACTTCAAAAAGTATACATGTTGTTCTTAATAAAAGCAAGATAAAAAAAAGAAGAAAGAATGGTTAAGTAATCTAGTCCTGCTTGTCTTTTCAGTGTTCCCAATTAATTCAGATTCTTATATTTTAGAGCTATATTCAGAAGGAAACTACACAATTAACGCACTATAGTCCCCACACACTTTAACAATAACCATGGTAGCTTCTTTTCATAAACTCCCCAATTGATCCATTGTCCTGAAATTAACTTCTCATAGAACAAATGTCACTTACCATGATCATTCAGTCACAATGTTTACATTTGCTAAGCAGTTCTTAGACAGCTTTATAAAACCAGCATTTTGCTGCTCAATTTATCGCACACCAATTGCGAATGGCAGATGATTGTAATCATTCATTAAATTCTATATAAATATATCTTGGAAATTTAGACCACGTAACTCTCCTGCTGCATCATGGACTAGCCCTTACTTGTGAATTTACTTTGTTTTTTCTTGCTATGTGTTTTCTGTTAATCTCCGGTACGCTGAAAAAGTTTGAAGAAAATTATGCAAATCCTGCATACTTGTTAAAGCATGATCCAAAATGGATGAAGAACATGCAGGATTTCAACCTCAGAGTTATGCATTTAATTACTATACTCCTTGAAATCAATAGAATTTAACAGTGCTTCATTTTCACCAGTTCGATCCTTTGTTTCTCTTTTTAATCTAGCACTATGGAAGGTGTGCAAACACAAAGTTCCTTCAGAAATCATATAGACTTTAAAAATAGACTTCTTACCTCCTGTCAGAGCTAAAAGACAGATATGAAAAAGCATTTTGATCATGTCCATAACAAATACTACATCAAATCTTTAAAAAGAAAGGCACACTTACCTCATGTTTCAGGGTTCCATGCTCTGAAACAAATGTAAAAATTGGCATGGTCAGTGAAAGAACGTTCACACTGTTCAACAGTAATCCCTAGCTCAGGGATACAGTGAGAGTACACAGAATGACTTTGTTTTGCTAGCTGATAACCTGTTTTATGCTCCAACGGCCCTGAGGCTCAGCTAGTTATTTTGCAATTGTGTTTACTTTTATTGGCTCAAGTCAGGCAGCACTGAACAGCTATAAAAAGCGCTGGGTTTATGCTTAACTCCATGACACATAGCTTTCTGAACCAATAGATTGCCTAAAATCTCTGAAACACTCTGAAATCTGCAGAAATTTATAGAGGTGAAGATTGACTAGTTTTAAAAGTATACAGTGATTTGAATCCAGACTTTAGCATAAAGCAATTGCAATTTCTTCTCCCAAAAAAACTTTATCCAGAACGTATTATATATCTAGTATTATTATTGCATTTTATTATATTGATATCTCATTGTGACGTAAGAGCTTTTTCATTACATAATGTGCATATATTTTGTGCACATTTCTCAGATAGACAAAACATACCAAATCCTAGTCTATCTTAAGCCAAATATTGAAAGAGCTTTGGACTGATCCAAACATATATGACAATCACTTAGACAGTAGATTCAATAAGTGATTGACACATGTGAATGAGACATTACGAAACTTGTCCTATAAAGAGAATGTTCATATTTCTTCTTTTAACTTCAAAAATAGTAATCTAGATCCACAAACCAGTTGGATGAGCTTTGAACATTCAAGAACACTCATTGCATTTATTAAATTATAGTTCTCCTCTAATGGAATCCTGATTTGATATGGGGGAAGAAAGGATTAGTTATTGCCGAGATCCTCCAGTCGTAATCTGATCCAGAAATGATTTTTTATATCCTAGCCACTGTTTGTTTTAATCTGGGCCAGTTCACTACATTCATTTTGAATCATCAAATTTTGAATCAATAAGAAATCATGTGATAGATATGTATGTATGAACTAGTCACTGTTGATAGCTTTGGGGATAGATAATCAAAAGGAAGCTACTGGAATTAAAATATTGCAGATTATTTTTTTAAAAGAAAACAGAACAGGCAGAGTTCTGCATGATATATTCTGAAATGCAATATTAAAAATGTAGAAGAACCACAAAACAAAATACAAAGTTCACATTTGCAAATATTTCTTATAAAATCAAAATGAAAACAATCCCAATTAATATTACCAAATAAAAATAATCAAGCTCTTAATAGATCATGAAATGGTGCCTAGCTCTCTCCTTCTTTAGAAAACATTAGCCCTATTATACTGTGGTAAAACTGGTTTACTTCACAAGAAAGCATATACCGTAAGAATGTGAAAAAACAAAAGAGAGCTGAATTATATATGCATCATAAAATGGCTTATGAGCAACAAACTTCAAATTAGAACATGCTAATATGCACTCAAAGTAACACACAATTCAAGACATGAGTGGACTTGCCCTCTATTTTATTTGAATAGCTTCTCATGAAATGAAATATGATTCTCCTAATTTGATGAGAGAGATGTTGTAATGCACATGCTAGGATTGTTTAATTTTAGGCAGTTATCCAGGAATTTCTCCTCTCCATTGCACAACTGAAAAAACAACCCCAAATAAACTATTATGCAAAATGGTTTTAAGAACCTACAAAACTTGTTGCTGCATCCCACCACTGATGTATGAAAAATTGTTCTTATGTCTACAGGAAGAGAATTGCATGTGACAAAATTCACTACAGTATCTTCTTATGAAGTCAATGAAACAAAATATATATAGCCTAGCATGCAGCACAGTTCTTTGCTGTACATATATTACCGAAACAATTGTACTCAGATTGGCTATGGACCACTCCACAAACAGTTGAAATGTTTGAAGTCAAGAGTTAGAAAGGCAGTAAGGTCTCTAGTAAGGATTTATGGCAGACTACAGTCCCTGAAGCAGATGGGACGGCATTAAAAGGCAGAGATGAGCAGCCAGATAGTGAATTCTAGTCAGCACAATCTTTCCAGATAAAGGTGAGATTGTGGGATCGCCCATTTGCACTCCAGACAGCTGTTCCTCATGAGCAGGCTGTAGGAACTGTCAGCATAAGCTGATGAGTTGAGTGTCTAGGAGTCAAAAAATTTCAATCAAGCTCAGAACCATAATGCAATATATATAAACACAAGGTTCACACAAACCTCACTTTCTTAAAAACTTTTGGATGTAATTAATTTATAGTTAAAGAGGGATATTCTGATTAGAAATATACGAGAATCAAAACTGGGGAGTCAACAGTCTTGCATGTTTTTTTTTAAAGTGGGCTTTTCCCATGCTGCTGAGAATCAAACTGATTTTCAATAAATAGTTGCTAACATGGTATATTCATTTTCAGATCCATACACTTTATTGCATCTTACAAAGGCATTGGCAAACTGGAGTACACATATTATGCACAAGTAGAGGGGAAAATTAGAGCAATTTATGCAATTTATGTACTTTGTTTTACTAAAGACAGGGAAATAGAGGGAGGGAGGTGAATTCATACAAATGCTGATAGTGGGAAGTCAGTACAGTAGTCCTTGACTTAAACAAAGTCACTTAGCAACCATTCGAAGTTACAATGAGCTACCTTGGGACTACTAACGATCCAAACTCAAATTTCTGGCAGTCCGGGGGGAGGGCATGGTCACATGATTGAATTTAACAACTGCAGCTTTCAAAGAAAAGGACACAAAACTGAGTTGGTCATCTGACTGACTTGCTTTATGACTATTACAAATTACAGCTGTGATGGACAGGCTCCATTATGATCCTAAGTTGAGGACCATCTGTAGTCTCTTGTGAGAAATGAATGTTTATCCAAAAAGTCAAAGTGGCTTTTAATGCTTTTGCTCCTTTCCATTATAAAGAATTGAGAATTGGGGCATATCAGGAGAAATATATAAAAAAAAACCACTGAATGCTGTGGAAATAGGAAACTAAAGTGCATGTGGTAAAACAAAACAACATAGGATCAAGAAGAAAGGATGCAAAACAAATGAGGTTATCATTATGTTGAGGGGTGAGACGCTGAATGAGTATCTTGGTTTGGTCTCACAGAATTAAAGAGCGAGAATAGAATATATGAAGACTGAGAAATTTATGGTCAAATAGAGTTCTTGGGATCCTGAAAAACAGATTCTTTAAAAACAAAACGACATTGAATTGTCAGAGGGACACAGTGGAAACAAAGATGGTTTTCAAGGATAGAAAGATGTGGAACAGTGTTTCCTAACCTTGGCAACTTTTCTGATCTGTGGACTTCAACTCCCAGAATTCCCCAGCTAATTCTGGGAGTTGAAGTCCACACATCTTAAAGTTGCTAAATTTGAGAAGCATGGGTGTGAACGGATAGAGCAAATAGAGTTTGTGTAAATTAGATTTAATTAAATTGCCTTTTCCTTTATTTTCTTACCTTACACCTTGAATTTCTTTTGCTTACCACCTCTTTATATCATGTTTGCACTTCACATATTGTTTGTTTACTCTAAAAACAAACAATATGCTGGATATGTTCCTTTTCTATTTTATTATTTTTTTCTTTGTTTGGTATCCATAGCATTTTTCAAATTGTATTTTTATGTATTGTTCCACATGAAAAAGCTGCTGACTTCTGCTTTAAAAAATACCTAAATATGTAAAACTTAAACGCAAAAAAAACACCTAAATATGTAAAATCTAAATGCAATGTATTTGCACACTCATAAGAAATTATGAGAAGTTACATCTGTCTGCTGGAAAAATTCAAATTTACCTTTGCATAATACCCTAAAAATCAAAAGAGCTGACTGTTTTTCCACTTGTTTGTTAAATATTCTTTGAAAACAAGGCAAAGGGATTGGTATAATATTTTCCACTGGGACCGCTAGTTCCTTTTTTTATAGCATAATTACTATTCCATTTCCAATTAAATTAACTGCAGTTACTATTGATCTAATATAGTAAGGACTTTACAAGGTTAAATTTTAACAAGGTAGAATTTAGGCAATCAGGTCTAAGCTATGCTCAGGGAAAGTGTCCAGGAGTTGCCATTCACTTTAATTCCATTAACTTAAAAAAATATTCACAGTCACACCCTATACAGTCTTCAGACCTGCTGACTTCTGTGCTTATATAAATGTTTTTCTGGAAGAAAACCAAAAACTATCTTGCTAAAACAGAACACAGGTGTGATTAAACAGTGATAATTAAGATTTTTTTAACTTCCCTTTTGCAGGCAGTTATGTCATTTATATTTATAAAATAATAATCACTGTTAGGAGATCAAGTTACTTTTTTCGGGAAAGGGTCCAACAAGCAGACAATCAAAACAGAAATGTATTAGATAGTAGATTACTAGTAAACTTTTTCACCATCTAAAGGTTTGGCAATAAAACTTAAATCACAGCAAACTTGCAACTTCCTTTCATATCAATTACTAGAATAACCAGTTGGAAGGGACCTTGGAGGTCTTCTAGTCCAAACCCTGCACAAACAGGAGACTCTATTCCTGTGTTGGTGAACCTATGGCACGCGTGCCTGAAGTGGCACACTGAGCCACTTCAGCCGGCATGTGAGAGCTCGCCTGGAAGAGCCCCACGGCGCAAGTGTGCATGCTGCCACCTTACAGCTGATTGTCGGGTATCTGGCGCGTGGGGGGGTGGGGGTGCACGGGAGACATGCACGCATGTGCAGAGGCACACAGCACATGTGGGGAGTCACGTATGCATGCACAGAGACGTGCAATGCGGGAGGGATCACGCGCACATGCACAGATGGATGACAGAAAGCATGACTCTGTTTGGGTAAACATAGTGCAGAGAATGGGGTGGTGGTGTTTCAGTCTCATCACCAAAATGTCTGTTTTGATAGCTGTAGCATTTCACTATCTCTGTCAGAGGTGGTATTCAGCAGGTTCTGACCAGTTCTGGAGAACTGGTAGCAGAAATTTTGAGTAATTCGGAGAACCGGCAAATACCACCTCTGACTGGAGATTTTACAGCATCCTTCCCCTGCCACGTCCACCAAGCCATGCCCACAGAACCGGTAGTAAAAAAAAATTTGACTCCCACCGCTGATCTCTGAGTTATATTTTGAGCATTAACCGATTATTTTAAAATAATGAAATGCAAGTATCTGCCTGCTTGCTAAATTATCTGCAAGACAGCAATACAAGTCTGGAAAATAAATCAGTATTATTAACTAGCAATTACCAAACAGGAGCATCAGCTATGGAAGCATGGCATAGCTTCTTTTTCTCAAATAGTTATGCAGAAAGCAGATAGGTATAAAGCCTGTCATTTTGGGAAAGATTTTTCATGCTCCTACTACTTATCCTTTGTTATCTTTCACAACATTAAAATGTACAGTCCTGTGATTTGCCTCACCAATTGGTCACAAAAGTTTGCAGATTTTCTCTCAAGTCCTATCATGGGTGAAATAATTAAATGATTTCTATTCAACTGCCAGAGGCAAAGATCACATGCAGACAACTTCATGGATTAATGAATAAATTATCATATTACAGCATCAAAGATGCAGGATGTTCTTCTCCAATTTACTTAAAAGTTCTGACCTGATTTTCTAAATTTAGAAAACTGCCCTATTTAAATGATCAAATTAGGAACTGAAGACAGGTTGATCTATTATTCTGTATACCTGCTGGAAGGGCTTTGTGAAAAATCTAAATTGTCATGTTTGGCTTCAGTAATCTGGATGAAAAATAAAAGCTTGCTCAAATGGCCTCCACATAATGTTGTGAACAGTGAAGTATCTACACCAGCATTTATGTTCCTTTGATAGTCAAACAGATGCTTTTGAGAATATTAAATAAAGGCATAAAGGATATAATTGCTTTCTGCCTCTTCCACTGTCATGCCTAGAATCTACTATCAAGTGTTTTGGAAGTAGATGATTTTTTTAAAATCTGTATCCTGCTTTTATTATTTTTACGAATAACTCAAGGAGGTGAGCATACCCAACATACCTTCCTCTTCCAACTTCCCCACAACAACAAACCTGCGAGGTGGGTTGAGCTGAGAGTCTATGACTGGCTGCAAAAGTCACCTAGCTGACTTTCATATATAAGGTGGGACCAGAACTCATGGTCTCCTATCTATGGAAATTCTCAGTCATCCAGGTCATGGTTGTCCCAAAGGTGCTTTTTCAAGAGGCAACTAACTGGTCTCTCTGCTCTGAGCTAAAGAATCTTCTTGGATGTGAAGTGAAACGTCCTCAAAGAAAAACCAGAAAAATTATGGTCTCCTGCTTTCTAGCCTGGTGCCTTTATCACTAGACCAGGGGTCCCCAAACTTGACAACTTTAAGACTTGTGGACTTCAACTCCCAGAATAGCTGGCTGGAGAATTCTGGGAGCTGAAGTCCACAAGTCTTAAAGTTGCCAAGTTTGGAGACCTCTGCACTAGACCAAACTGCCTCTATGATGTGATTATAACCTATAATTAACGGTTGCCTTCTCCAATTTATAAATTCCTCCAAGTAAACTTCTGAATAGTCACATTGACCACTCTCAACAGTGATCCCCTCCAAAATTTCTTCAGTGCTAGTGCTGCAGGGGAGATCAGAAAGGAGGAGCTGTAATTTGGGAAGTATAGGAAGTTCTATCAGATACCTAGATCTAATTTATATGATTCTGGGAAGCTCCTAACATTTTTCCAGTGGCTCTTACAGCTCTTTTACTTCACATAAATTGCAAAAGATACTGATTTCCAAAAAGCAATTATAGCAGTATTTATAAATATATATTAACACAAAAATACAATGAACACAACTTAAGGGAAATTAAGTCTTAATTAAACCCGGCAAATTTATGACCGAATTAAAATAGAATTCCAAACAATGCAAATGGCTTACCAACTAAATTAACCCTGCAATTGTCGAGTCTTCCCAAACATTCTTTGTGGACTCCAGCCCCACACTTCGAACATAAGTAGCCTTGATAAAATGTTCCCCTGAAATATAAAATAGTATGGAAATCGGAAGATATCTAGAATAATGTAACAACCAGTAAAATATGAAGCAGTTCAATATGTGTGACAAGAATGCAGATGCTTATATAGTAATAAATCCCTAAATACCAAGAACCAGCAATGTTTTTTGTTTGTTTTTGCAAATCTAATGGACATTGGTTACTTAAGCAGCTACATTTTTGGAAGGTCAACAATCCACCATAGTGTGATCATTCCAAAACTTTTTTTTCCTGCTCTGTATATCTGGGTTTAGTGTTGATCAAATCCTGGAGTTGGTGTTGAGACTAAGTTCTGGGATGTTGGGAGTGGCAGCCTCAGACTCTTGATGATATCTGTTACTTTTAATGCCAAGAGAAAGAGAGAGATGTGTAATCACAATAAATGTGATGACTATGCAGAGACTGCTTGCGTGACATATTGCTCAGTGAAGTTTATTGCTGCTATATGTTCAGAGCTCGCGACTATTGCACTGGTGTCTTCACACATTATGGCATAACACAACTGTATAATATGTATGTTTACAATATTATATGTTGCTTCGTGTTTAAAAACGTTGGGGTCATATGCACACCATACTGTAGATATTGTTTTTGTAGGACTTTCTATTTTACAGCATGTATTTTGTAGGAAAATATAGGATATTTTTCAAGTAATCTTATATAATAGACAAGGATGTACTATTTTTCTTCTAGTCAAATTAAACCATGCTTAATTACACCCTCTTACTATTTCAATATTTTGTTTTGCCTGCTTTTTTTATAGTATAGCTATTCTGCAATCCCAGATTTGTAAAGGTATATTTCTCTCAAGAAAGAATTAAGTTAAATTCAATGCTGGGTATTTTTTTTTAATCAGTACTGTTTTTTAATACACAATATTCAACTACTGGAATCTTTCTGGACTCAAATAAAGAATGTAGTATATGACTAATAACCTGTAGCATTTGTATTAAAAAAAACCTCTTAGCTTTCAATGGCCTTAGTGGAAAATAATTCTTTGTGTAAGGTCAATTTGAAAAGCAGAATTTATGAGTTTAAAAGCAATGAACTTAGAAAGCACCACAACAGCTACTAGTAGAAATTACACTTTACCAAAAAATTAGTAGTGTTAGATCTATTATTTTGTTTCCATGGAGAAGCACAAAATCGTCCCATTTATTTAGTTATTTACTTATTTTAAAAATATAGTTAATCTTTCAGGGGCAATGAAGGGGAAAGAAATTATTCAATAACAATTTTTTCAGGCTTTTTGGAATATCCCACTTCTGATTGTGTGAAAAATACTTCAATGTATTAAATGGTTTTATTTCAACGGTTTTATTTCAAGAGTCTGTGTTGTGTTTATAATAAATTCATTAAATAAAATTTACTATATTTAAGTGACAAAAATCTTTTCATGGACATTTAAATGTCTAATTGTGTCTATTTTTCTGGTTGTAATGAAATCCATAAAAAGAATTTATTTGGAAGACTTGGGAGTAATACAGACTGAAATTAAAGATTATGGTTCATTCAATGAGCATGCCATCAGAATGCTAGTTTAACTTAAAACTGAAATGAGAAAAGCTGAATTCTAGGAATAAAAAGTTAACAAAAGAAAGCTGCAGACATAATTATGACTCCTTCATTATTATTATTCTGAAACAACACTTTTCATTCATTTAGGACTTGGTCTTCAGCTACAGAATTGTTGGGAAAATAAATAAATTCATATATTTGCATATACACCTTTGTATGGTTGTTATTTGGCACAGCATTTGGCAGATATAAACTCCAACATCAAAATTATGAAACAAAAATTTTTACCATACCACATACCAATGTTACATCTTTGTCTAAATGTTTTAACAACACCAACAAAAAGATGTTGATGATAAATTCTGAAATTCTAATTACCCTGCACAATGTTGCCATTTCTTTCCAAATACCCAGGAATTCACTACACCCATTAATTAACACAGTAGGCACTCTATTTTATTTTGTATAGCCCATCTCTTTCAAAGGTCATCACATGTACATAGTGTATTCTAAATGAATATACATTTGTAAAAATAATATCATATTTGCTACCTGAAGAAAGAGCATTTTCGATTGGAAAGTGGGTTTAAACTTCTCCTTTAAAAAAATCTTCATTTTAGGAGGTGGTCAGTATAATCTTAAAATATATTTTCTGGTTATATGAGAAAAATGAAGAAAGCTGAGCATCCCTCCTGCCTCTTCCTCTTTACAAATGTATATGATACATCACTGATTTTGCACACAAGTACCACTCAAAAAGAGGGAAATGTTTACTATTTGAACATATTAACTGGGTTCATGCTAATGCTGAATTATACAACTATTTGTGGAATGTAAGTCTTGCTAGCTTTAAAAGAGAGATAGAATCCACCAGATAATTTGATGGTTTATTGAATGCCATTGTTTTTCCCAAGTTTAATATAATTTTTAGGCTTCGTCCATTTGACACTTACCTCAAAAGCATCTGACAGACTTTGCAGGATGTTACACGAGTGAAGGTATACATTTTAAAGTCATGTGTACTTGTTTCTGCAAACTGGGGCCTTATGTTTGACCTAGAATGTAAAATAGATTCAATATTCATAAATATTAATAGAGCAATAATTCCATTTTCAAACCCAGAAAAAAACTGCAGATGTTTAAATATGCATTTTAATAAATTGGGTTGGGTATATTGAAGACTCAGTTCTGAGGTCTGTCTTCTCTCCTTCTGTGTTTTATTCCACTAATATATTATATAATTTAGCTAAGCCAAACCCACTCTTGGTCCTGGTTTGCCTGTCAGCATACACTTCATTTTGTTGTCAGAACAATTGTACAAATTACAGTTGCTTCCTGTATCTTATTTTCTTGCTATCTGAACATTCTTCACCAGTCTTGGCATTTCTTATCAAAACTAAGGGGGGAGGGAGCCACTTCTATACTGTGACTGCGAGGCAGGATTTATCCTAATCCTGATTTATCTTAGAAAGTTTTGAACCCAATTATTATCTTACATCTCTCTGATTTGTATCCCAGAGCCAGCCTTGTGTGAGTGTAAAGTTCTTAATTCACACACACACACACACATACACACCCAAAAACAATTAGGGCATTTGGGAAATGCGAAGATACCATCTAAGCAAAATATAAGTTTGATTATAGTTTAATGCTGTATTTTTTAAACTGACTGTCTCTCATATTTGAGCCAGAGAGATTTAGAGAGCATTTGAGTCCTAAATAAAATCTGGATCAGAACTGCCCATAGCACTGAAAGCAGCCATAGCAAATTGTCTTAGTGCATCAGGGGAATTCTTCAAAACAGCCTTTCAGATGTTTTGGATTTTATTTCCAATCAAGAGTTATGGCCAATGAGAAGTAAATTAAGAACTGCAGCCCGAAGCATCCATGATCTATCTTCACTAGAAGTTTCCTGATCCTTTTCGCAGATTCCTGAGCCCGATATATACTACCTATTTCAACAATATCTTCATTAAGATCTTCCATATTGCCTTCAAGTTCATAGGTTTGGACTTATACAAATATACTTCTGTTTCTAGGGTTAAATGTGAGTTTTACTCCAATTGAAAGCTATAACTTTTTCTGTTCTGGGCTGCCCTACCCTGCAAATACTGACAAAGTCATTTATAATAAGTTCTGAGGTCTTTAAAATAGATGTTTCAACTTCAGAGCAGCTCTGAAGAGTTTAACCACCACTAGCAATGGTGGTTAAACTACTTCAATCAACAAAATAAATGGATTATAACTGAGAGTTTGAAAACAGAAAGGAACTTCACGTACTATATATGGAAGAAACAATAATGCTACTAGAGCTCAGGAAAGTTTCTTTTATATCAATATTAATAACAAACTATATATGTGATCAAACCTCCACCATACCTAAATGTCTAGAGATGTAAAAAAAATGTCATGACTCCAATGGTCTTCTTCATATTGTTTACCATCATGAGACCTCCATATAGAATTGTTGTCTATAATACACCTAAATGGTTTGTTGTTTATATATTTCTCTAAAACATCCCACATTATCAGAGACATACCTGATTTGTGCCTATTTTTAATGCTTTTTGTTCTCTTTAACTGCAGAAATCCAAGATTGTATTTCAAATATTTATTGGTTAACAAGGGGGACCATGACAATAATACAGAATAGAATTCTATCAGTTGTATCATTTGCTGCTATATAGATTTTCCAGAAAAAGCTATATTTGCTCAAATTGTCATCCGCCAACAGACCTATCTAAATAAGTAATTTAAAACGAACACATTGGTTGCTAATGGAACACATTAGGTGTGTGGCCTCCATGCACACTTTTTTTTATAATGCCAACATTGATTTCTGGTCACAGTAAAATGTAGGTTGTGTTATAATGTGGAACATTTATAGTTTTCTATTTTGCCTTTTCACATTAAGTGAGCAGAAATATTAAGAAAGTGCAAAGCTGCTGAGTAGTAGGCAGCAAATTATTTTTATCTCAAGCTCTTACACATAGGTTCTGCATTTTATGATATTTAGAAAGGCAAGAAGATATTCTATTATCTTTATTATTTCTATGTACTCTTGACCACATTTGAAAGCATCAGATTTGAGAAGTGAGTTACAATGCAATCCTGGTCTGCATTAATAGACAGATAGAATCAAGATCACATGAAGTTCTAGTACCGCTTTACAAAGCCTTAGTAAGACCACACTTGGAATACTGCATTCAATTCTGGTCACCACAATACAAAAAAGAAGTTGAAACTCTGGAAAGAGTGCAGAGATGAGCAACAAAAATTATTAGGGGGCTGGAGGCTAAAACATACAAAGAATGTTTACAGGAATTGGGTATGTCTAGTCAAATGAAAAGAAGGACTGGGGTGACATGATAGCAGTGTTCCAATATCTGAGGGGCACCTACAAAGACAAGGGGGTCAAATTATTTTCCAAAGCACCAATAGGAAGACAAGAAACAATGGTTGGAAACTAGCCAAGGAGAGAAGCAACCTAGAACTAAGGAGAAATTTCCTAACAGTGAGAGCAATTAACCAATGGAATACCTTGCCTTTAGTAGTTGTGGGTGCTCAATCACTGAAGGCTTTCAAAAAGAGATTGGACAGTATTTGTCTGAAATGATATAGCGGGTTGGTCTAGAAGACTTCCAAGATCCCTTCCAACCCTATTATTATGCTACTCTATTCTAGGATCATGCATAATAGATGACAGATAGCACAGTGGGCTGGTAATCAAAGCAGCAACCAAATATTTCCTTTCATGGAGCAGAGCAGAGAGCATTATCTCTATTCTACTGCTGTTATGTACACAAAAGGATTAAGGCACAAATAACCAAAGGCCACACCCTTTGGAACTGCCCATGCTAATTACCCACAGAATTGTTGCCAGTGGCTCTGGTAGCATTTTTAATTGACTGTATGTACAATAGGTTATTGTATGCTACACTATAAGTATGCTACACTTTCACTCTTGCCTGTTGTGTCTGACTGACTGACTAACTGACTCTCTCCCTCTTTCTCTCTCTCTCTCTCCCTCCCTCCCCACCCCTTTCCTATCCTACTTTTCCCTATTTTTTTGTTTTGTTTTGTCAGTTAACTTGTTTTATGGGAGAGAGTGACTGTCAAAGCTTTTGCTTAAGTTTACTATATTTCCCCTCTCTTCAAATTGTGTATGTGTGAGAGAGATATTAAACAATAGTTTCCTTTTGGGTTAATATGGAATATTAGCCAGATCACATAGTCTAATAATCTACTATTGTTAAAAGGAATCCTTGTTACTGAAGATGGTTTCCATGTAATTTCCTCCTTTTGAGCAGTGTTTCTTAAAGTGTGGTGTGAGGAGCTCTACAAGTTCCCCAAGACCCTCTCACAGGGTCAATTAATATTGACAGATATTAAAGACACTTGCAAAAATGTTTTTAAAATGTAATTCTTCTCCTTAAAAATACAGAGTTTTTCATGAGAAATATTTGTGTTAATCTCTACTATCTAATGTGATATTGCTGTTTTGACATGATTCAATAAATATTCTACAAATGTAGAAAGGTAAAAGTTTCCCCTCTCTAGTCGTGTCTGACTCTAGGGGGAGTGCTGATCTCCATTTCTTAGCCAAGTGAGCCAGGGTTGTCCAATAACATTTCCATGATCATGTGGCCAGCATGATGCACAGATCACTGTTATCTTCCCACCCAAGTGATACCTATTTATCTACTCACATTTGCATGCTTTCAAGCTGCTAGGCAGGCAGAAGCTGGGGCAAGTAGCAGGAACTCACCTATCACACTGTGCTTCGGTCCTGAACCCAAGCTTTCCAGCTAACAAACTGTATCTTTAACTACTGAGCCATTGTGCCCCATCTCTACAGATGTATAAATTTTAATTTTTAATACAGTATATGTGGATAAATATAAACCATGCAAATAAAAGCTCTTTTGGGGTTCCACACTTTTTAAAAGTGGAAAGGTGTGAGCAAAATGTTTAAGAAACATTCCTCTAGAGCTCACCTATTATTCAATATCTTTTCAGGCATCTTCTGCAGTAAATACTGATATTGTTACATTTTATATTGCTTTCCTGTCAGCACCACAAATGGACTCTAAATATGTCAGAAGAAAAAGCAGTAATGCTAAGTAGATAACAAAATGTACCAGTCCTGTTTTGCTATAAAGGAAGGAAGATGAATTCTCATTTGACAATATAATGTGGCATAAACCATGGCTTTAAAAACTCTTTTCCTCATTTCGATACTTGACCAGACATTATGCACTGTGTCACAGGGGTTTATACAGTAAAATTATATGTCACTTCTTATAAGACTGAAATAATGTGATATGAAACACAAAAGCAGGATGTGGCAAATCATAAATATATTCATATTTCCTATGGAGATGGAAATGTATTATTTCAATGGTCCCTTTTTCATAAACAATTAAAATGATAACATTATATTTATGGTTTGTAAGTCAACATTTTTAATATTTAAGAAAAAAATTTCTTGGAATGCAAACTCATTTGCATTCCAAAAAGGAATTAGAAAATAAAAGAACTTATAAGAACCAATTAGAAATATATTTTTATCACTTGGCAACTTAGGATTGCACATATGTACTGTTCAGTGTTTTCTGTCACTGATATCTAATCATTCTATATGGGATGTAATGTGATAGATAAATTAGATCAGATTGACCACAATCTCTTCTGAAACATTTAATTAAATGGTTCTTTATCTAAAACAACCCGACATCAAAGTTGTCTATGAAAACATAGCATGCCAGAATGGAAGCCCCATGACATATTAATCTTCATATCATGAAAGCTTACTATACAGATAAATATTATCATTCCTGAAAAAGGCACTCTGCTCTTTACCACCCAGTATATGGGATGGTGTGTACTTTAGGACTAAATATTAAGAAATACCAAGTCAAATAAATTAGTTTATAGATTAAAGAAAAAATATATTTTTGATATGTTAATTTTCAGTTCCATACTCCTTGTTGCATTGTACAATCAATAATGACATTTGCTGAAAATCATTCCAGTTCTCAGCCAGAAACACATC